CTAAATCCAAAAACCCTAAATCCTAAATCCTATATAAACCCTATATACTCCCTTATATAACCCCCCTTTAAGGAGTTTAGGCTATAGCTCATTTACAGCTCCAGGGCTCCGGCTTTGGCCTCACAGGTGGTCTTTAGCTCCGCCAGCATCTTCTTGTCATCCGCTAGGGATTGGCCTGCAGCTGCAGGGCTTAGGGTTTAGGCTTTAGGGTTTAGGATTTAGGGTTTGGGGTTTAAGCCCTGAACCCTAAACCTGGAGGGGGCCAGGGATATGGGCTTTTGGATGTTGGGTGTGGGGCTTGGGGTTACGGGTATGGGGTTTAAGGTGCGGACGTGTAGTAGTTTCCAAACATTTTGTCCTGCCAGTTTCCTCATTTCCCATTTTCTGTTCCATTTGATTCTCCATTATTGCGGGTAGTATCCCTCAACCTTATAAACGTTGAAACCCACTCGAGATTTCCCTTTCATTTTCCACTTAAGGAAACTCCGTAAGTACGCAGGGGGTACATCAGGCTTTGGTAAGATCTACTCACGGCAATGATTGGTCTGCAATTGTCTTAGAGCTCAAGGCCGTGGTTTTCCCATGGCGTTTTTTCAAAGTCCAGGGTTTGCTTGAAGAGTGCTGTTCGGGGCCTACTGCTTGGGCCTTGAGGCTCTGGATTTTGAGTGTCAATTGCTTGGAGTTTAAACCCTACCCCAAAGTCCTAAACCCTATGCCAAACCTATGGCGGCCTGCGCCCTCCATGGACTTCTTCAGGTTCACAACGTCCACCTTCAGCTCACCAATGCGCTTCAATTTGCGCTCGAACTGCTCCAGCAACGTGGAGATCTCCACCTGCTAACTGATGTGACTAAAAGGCCCTGATACACCCGACTACATTGCAATCGCAGTAAGGAATCACATGGATCCCTGTAGTAGCTTCGTATTCCCCCGTCTTATAATAGTTCCCTCGTTCTTTTCCGTTCCTTCAGTCCCTACTTAGCAGAGGCAAAGTGGCAAAACCCCCCACCTTCTTGGAACCCTCGAGATCTTGGAAGGTGTGAATTGCGGTGTCCTCACTCTTGTCATCAGTGACGATCTCCTCCTGACAAGGGCCAGCAAGATAGTTGCCCAAGATTTCTCGTGTCCTGAAGCTCAAATGGAAACTATCGTGTTATGATAGGGTATATATTGGAATATCTAGGGACTATGGAAAGGAAAACGGAGACTATTCTTTAGCGATTAGGGTGTATTTAGGGGTCTAGGAGGGAACTCTTCGTTTGGAAAGAAGGGGCCAGCTGTAATCAGAATGGTATGTATCAAACTTTCCGTCTCTATCTACACCTCAGATCAATAGAATGCCCAAGTTAATAGAGCAAATCAAGCCCCACCCTAAACCCACAATATCCCATGGAGATGTTTGAAATCATAGTCCCCATTAAGTGGATAGAATATGGGGTATATGGGGATCTTACTATAATATACCCAGAGCCATGTTCTATCTACCCAAAGAGGGACTATAGGCCTTGGGGGGTGCTTAATGTCAGCCCTAAGCCCCAAACCTCGAAAAAGGAACCCGAATGCCCACACGGTTTGGGTTTTAGGGATAATGGAAAAATGGAAACTACTATTTAGTGTATTGGGGTTATACTGGGATCATGGAAAAGAAAATGGAAGCTAATGTTTTTGGTTTAGGGTGTAGGGATTAGGGTTGAGGGTGAAGGGTTTAGAGTTCAAGGTTTAGGGTTTGTAAGGTTCACGATCCTTGGTGTCGTCGGCCATGCCACTGAGGATGCCCATCACGTAGCCAGGATCCATCTTCTCTCCTAGTCGCCCGGGAATGAGTGCTATACTACTTCTTCCTCTTCTGCTACTACTACTACTACTTCTTCTTCTTCTTCTTCTGCGCTCCTCCTCCTCCTCCCCCTCTTCCTCCTCCTCCTCATCCTCTTCTCCCCTGCTCCTTGCAGTAACACTGACTCAAAAAAATTGCAGACCCACGTTACAGATCCTAATTATAACCATATAACCTATACGCAGCGCTTGAAGAGGTCACTGCAACTTCCTCTCTCCCAACTGCCCAATATCCCAAACCCCAAAACTCCAACCCTCAGACCCCAAACCCCTCCTACTAACCCTTGCATGACAGCTACTAATCCAAAAGCAAGTGGTACTTTCCCAAATCCCAAAATAGAGGAACCCCATATAGACCCCCAAATACTATAATCCTTATGGGGATCCCCAAAAATGTACTCCTAATTTTGGGAAACCCCCAAGTCTCCTGACAGGAAGGACACCAGGCGCTGCTTCTCCGTGGCATGCAGATGGCGGTCCGCGGCTCGGAGCATCGGTGTCTTCCTGGCGGCTGCTTCCGGGGGTGTATTAGGAGAATGGAAAAGAAAATGGAGACTACTATAATAATGAATTATGTGAGGATAATGGGGTTATATTAGGATAATGGAAAAGAAAATGAAAACTACCATAGTACAGTATAATGAGGTTGTATAGGGATAATGGAAAAGAAAAAAGAAACTGCCATAGTATATTGAGATAACGGAAAAGAACATGGAAACTACTATAGCATATTAGGATAATGGAAAAGAAGATGGAAACTACTATTTAGGGTTTAGGGTTTAGGGTCTAAACTCCTTTAAGGGGGTTTCTGAAAGCAGCACCCAAAAAATGTACCCGAATAGAGGGAGGGGGCTTCTGATT